AGAAGCTGCTAAAATATCTCACTCTATCATGTGAAAATAGAATCCCCAAATCATCTGCTTTTAACCTATGGAAGAATTAACTCACTTAATAAGCCAGAAATACATATTGTAATAATTTATATAATCTATATTTTAATAGCTAATAAAGTTGCTTCATTTATTATCACCATTTTAATATGAGTTTTGTTTTTAAAGGAATAGGAACTAAATACATTTGATAAAACTAAAGCCATTATATATAATGGAAGACAAGATAACTTGTCTCCACTGTTCTTAACTATTATCAGTTCCTCATCATGGCAGACTTAGGATCATTTCACTGTTATGCAAAGACAGAGCCCATCTACCTCAGGAGAAGAACTGCTGTATTTGCAAATGACAATGTCATATTTAAATGTCTTAATCAGAACAACTGACATAAATAAAAATAAACAGCTACATAGGGTCATATGCTAAAACTAGAATATGTACAGATTACATAAACTGATGTAAGTTTTTCAAAGAAATGTGTGTATTGTACATAAGGACAACTAATAAAGCAATAAAATGTTAATTCCAGACAAATTTCAACAAAGAAGCATGGGTGTTATCATTATTATTATTATTTGACTTTTTTCGAGAAAGTGTTTCTCAGTAGCTATGGAGCCAGTCCTGGAACTCATGTTGTAGACCAGGCTGGCCTCAAACTCACAGAGATCTGCCCACCTCTGACTTCCAAGTGCTGGGATTAAAGGTTTATACCACCACCACCAGGCTATTATTATTATTCTTAAAACATTCCTACAACCTTAAAATTATTAAAAAGTTTAAAACATAATAAAATAAAACACATCATTGATATTGTATATCTGAGTCTTGTTTTTTCTTTGTCTTTCATCCAGTATGATCCTTGCTATTTAATTGGGAAGTTTAGCCATTTATATTTAAAGCAATTATGTTGCTAGTATGCACCTTTCTATTTGTGTCCTAGCCATATCATTTTAGCTTTGCTATTTATCTTTTCTTTTTCCTTTGTAACGTTTTCTTTCTTTCCTGATTTTATTTAAATTAATCAATTATTCAGTGATCAATTTTATCTCCTCTGGCAAGCTTTTATGTACATATTTATTCTACTGTTTTAGTGCCCTAGGTTTTGAATTATGAATTCTGAACTTGTTATAGTTTATCCTAAATATTATACATCTTCACATATGCTGTAATAAACTTACGACAACACAGATTTGTTTATTAGGAATATCTTTTTCAAACTATTGTTATGTAATTACCCCATATGTTATAAAATTATCATATATGGTTAATAGTTTGTTGTAAATAAAAATGAAATTCCATCAAACAATAAAGAAATCAACAAATAAAGAAGATGGTACTTTACTGTTGCCCACATATTTTTCCTGTGGTTACCATTTGATATCACTTTCGTTCAGCTTGAAAAACTTTCTACAGGGCTGGAGAGATGGCTCTGAGGTTAAGAGCATTGCCTGCTCTTTCAAAGGTCCTGAGTTCAATTCCCAGCAACCACATGGTGGCTCACAACCATCTGAAATGGGGTCTGGTGCCCTCTTCTGGCCTGTAGGCATACACACAAACAGAATATTGTATACATAATAAATAAATAAATATTTTTTAAAAAAAAGTTAAAAAAAAAACTTTCTACATTTCTTGCCAGATGGTGGTGGTCACACCTTTAATCCCAGCACTTGGGATGCACACAAAGGCAGACAAACCTCTATGAGTTCAAGGCCAGCTTGGTCTAGAAGAGCTAGTTCCAGGACAGGCCTCAAAGCAACAGAGAAACACCCCCCCGCCAAAAAAAAATACTACATTTCCTAAGTGCAGGTCTAAATTCGTTCATCTTTAATTCATTTGAAAATGTCTGTTTTATCCTCACATGCAATTGATACAATATTCTAGATTGACAATGTTTTAAGGTTAGATTTTTGTTATTTTTTTCCTAGCACTTTCAAGATGACATTCATTGGTTTCTGACTTATGCTGATTCTGATACAAATCAGTGATGAAGGTTATCATTTATCATCATTGCCCCCCCCCAACCCATTGGTGATATGTCCTTTTGTTCTCAGGCTACTTTTCAGGTTTTTGTCCTTTGGTTTTCAGGAAACTGGTAACATATCTAGTGGTGATTTTCTTTGTGTTAATTTTGCTTGGGAATTGGTTGAAATTCTTAATCTATGGGTCTATATTTTTCAAGAATTTTTGGCCATTATTTCCTCTGATAATTTTCTGCCCTATTTTGTCTCTTCTCCCTCTACCACTGCAATCACATATTTGTTGGTTTTTTTGTTTTGTTTTGTTTTCTTTTTACCATTTAACTTGTTTTGATGTTTCTTCACAAATGGTGAAAATACTAAAGTACAGACAGTAATAATCGTGATGTTGTGGCCAACATTATAAATATGGAATTATAAATTTAAAACATTTTCTGGTTTAAAAAAAAATAAATCTAGTCATCCATGCAGCTCTGAGGTCTCTCTAGTAGGGCCGGTCTCTAAGTTCCTGAGGGTGCTCGCCTTTATCCATTTACGCAGGCCCTCCAGGTCCTCCAGGTCCACCTCTTCTTCATTCCATCTGTTCCATCAATGGTCCAGGAGGACCCCCAGGACCACATAGTATTCCTCCACCAAAGCCACCTCGGTCCAAGCTACGGGCACCTCAGAAGCCACCTCTGTCTCCACCTCTGCCACCTCGGAACAGTTCTCCAGGACCACCACGGTCCATAAGTCCATCTCATCCTCGTTGCATGCCACCAGGGCAGCCTCACCAGGTGAAAACAGAGAGCCACCTTATGAAGGTTATTCTCTGCCCACTGCCCCCACACTCACACATAAAAGCTGAGCAGGTCCCCTTTTAAGATTCTCAATCGATCACATATTTGTTAAGCTGAAAGAAAGTACAGCAGGAAGACCAAGGTTTTCTCCATTTTTGGTTTTGGTCTGCTGTCGCTCTGTGCTTTGGTATGGATGGATTACATTAATCTAAGATTACGTTCACTGATCATCTCTAGAGTATACAAATTACAACTTATTCTGTCTGATTATGTTTTCATTTCAGATACGAATTATTGTCCATTTGTATCTTGCTTATGAATCATGCTCTCAGACTTTTGAACAAGTATTTTAACTGCATTCTAGACATTGTGGGTGTGCATCATTATTGAAAATCTGGATTCTTTTATCTTACTTTCGAGAGTTTAGATCTGCCAGTCAATTGCTTAACAAGTGAATCAGCTCGACTGGGGGAACTTTGGGAGTTAGCTGTATGAACTAACCTTTGCTCATGATTAAAAGGGCAGTGTTCCTAAGGGACAAAGCACGGGATACTTTGGCATGCTCTCTCCCTATTCCCCAGCATTTGAATACCCTATGAGAATCTCCAGTCAGCAATCAGTACCACAGTGGCTGTTTTCTGCTAAGGCTTGTGCTGTGTTTGAGGAAAAGCTCAGGAAACTCTGAGCTTTTTAATTTTTCTAGGGCTCCTTTTGCACGCAATGTCTTCCTCTCTGGTATCCTAAGTCACAAATTTCAGAAGCCTCTATATCCCTGAATGCTAATCCCTGATTTCTCCATTAAGATAGTCTTTTGGACTTCACTTCTCTATGGCAATAGCTTAAAAAGTACCCACCAAAGGAAGCATCTGTTCTCTGCTTTCTGTTAATTGTATCACCTGAGTCCATTCGGGTTTATAGTTCCTTACTATAAAAGACAATTTCAACATGGCCAGAGCTAGAAGTCCAACAATATTTGAAATTGCTTTAACATGTTATTTTGTAAGATGAAAGGCACATTTCATTTCTATGTGGCAGATAAGCAAACCAGGATGGAAAATGTTAAATAACCAGCTCCAATCCACAGATATTTAATCCAATATACACATTTCTCAAGTACCTACTATAGGTACACAGTAATTGACATATTAGTAAAAAAGAATCCAGAAAAAGTAGATTTTATCCATCTAAACAGATCGAACACACGGCACCTCACTCCCAAAAATAACTCTAGAAAATGAGTTACTAAGAATCAATCTTATTCAATCTACCAGAAGCGTGCATATATTCTCAAAAATGAGTACAATTTGCATTCATGATTTATTTATCACTGCAAACATTCCTATTTTCTGTGCAAGTGATTTCATTCCAACAGCTACATTTTTCAATTCTCTACATGTACTTACCTTTTTAAATATTAAGTAGATATTACCATTTCTACTTAGCTATATCAAATTTGTTTCAGCTAACTCTTAATTGTAGTTCTAATTTTCACCTGGATAAATCAAATGTATTTTGCTGGCAAAGAGAAAAATATAATGCACTTTCTAAATGCCATGTCAGCATATCATATCAAACAGTAATGCAACTCCTTCCATCTTCAACAAGTAAAAGTGATACATTTCCAACCCACAGATTTATTCTCATCTCTCTCTCTCAATAAGCTCTTGTCATTTAATCTAGTGCATGGAAAAGGTGATGGTAAGAAAACAGTTAGTAAAATTAAACTCAACCGTGTTCATAAAACAACTTTAAAACATTTTAATATTTATTGTCTCTCTTCTCCCCCAGCTCTTGTTCACTTTCTTTAGAAACTGGGTCTCAGTCCATAGCCATGGCCAGCAACAAACTCTCTATAAACCCCGGAATGGCCTCAAATTCATGACCTTCCTCTATTAACCACCCAAGTTATTTATTAGCTAAACATATGACTCAATAAAGCAAAGGATGTGTAAATAGAAATCTGATAGTATATATCTTTGATTGCTATATATTGAGAATCAGTTCTTATTTTAAAAGCCTGATCAAAATAATAATAATAGCAATAAAAGAATGTTAGAAGATGTTTTAAAGATGGCAGATAATAATGGCATCCCCATTCATTGAATGCTTCCTCACCCAGTTTGTGCTTCCTAAGGTGATAATTTAGGTCACTATTTACTATTGCTGCACACTGCTGTCTCCAATCAAGATGACAGTCTTTGTACAAAGGCCTTACCTGCAGCACATCTTGGATCTTCACCCATACATCTGCCATATCATATAATTTAATCTCTTCCTGCTGCATTGACTGGGTCCCAACAGAGTCCTGCAGGTACCCCAGGACCACAGAGTGTGCAGTGGCTACAGCATTAAACTTGTCAAACAATACCTCCAGCAGTTCTAGAAGTAACCTGTGGAAAAACAATCAAACAAGTAAATAACATTTACATAAATGCATACAATCATACACAAATGGTTTACACTGACCTACAAGAATAAAATACTAACTCTAGTGAGAAGCACAGCAAACACCACGTAAACAGTACAAATACAACATTCCAACAGATTTGATTTCCAACAGCTACACAATTAAAGCAGTCTCCTCAATCTATCTGACACTAAACGGAGATGACTAAAGAATTTATAAATCCATTATAAAGTTCCTAAATTGTCAGCCTAATAAACACAGTTCCTTTTAAAATATTTGAGGGTATAGAAAGAATCACAACTACTCTGCATTCATATAGGTGGTCTCCAATGAATTCTGACAATTTTTTTAAGACAGCAGTTCAGATGCCACACAGAATATGCTATTCCCTAGCAATAAATAGGATGCGTTGGTGAGGACACTAATCCTGTTAGTAATGGGAAGCTGTGCTTACTATCATTCAAATGCATGGCCTAAGGTGTCTAAAAAAAAAAAAAAAATACACACCTGCTAAGCAATCTGACTTTCACTACAGGAAGCAGCTTAGGCATCCGCATTATCTCATTTATCATAGTGAGATATGCTGGACACATTATTATTACATCAATACCATACACTGAAGGACACAAAATGAGATTGCAAAGCAGCTGATCTTAGAACAAAAGTTGATTCCCAAGCCAGTGCATCTAGCTACCTACTTCTCTCACTACCATTCTAGAATACAGATGTAGAGAGAGAGCACAGAGTTTTCTGTCGTGATACAAAGTAATTCCTCTTCCATTGAGCTTTACAACTTCATTCATCACTTAGGCCTGAAATTACTTTCTTCTCTCAATTTGGAAAGTAGTTCAACCTAGTTTTAAGAACTTACCACATGTGGCTTACATATATAGCTAACAAATACATGTCACATTTACCTTCATACAGGTATTCTGCATCCCCTCTCCATGATTACTTTTGCAGAGTAGATTCTACGTAATATACTTCTATACTCAAGAGCACTTAGAACATGTTTAGCGAATACTTGTTGAATAAATTACTGTCTTGGCCGGGCGGTGGTGGCGCACGCCTTTAATCCCAGCACTCAGGAGGCAGAGGCAGGCGGATCTCTGTGAGTTCGAGACCAGCCTGGTCTACAAGAGCTAGTTCCAGGACAGGCTCCAAAACCACAGAGAAACCCTGTCTCGAAAAACCAAAAATAAATAAATAAATAAATAAATAAATAAATAAATAAATTGCTGTCTAGACCGTGAATGAGGATATAAAAACTTGGAATGTGAGCTTCATTATATGTTTCTCAGTCCCCAGATTATTAACAGACTAATTCAGCCTCAAAGTAGAACAGCAAAACAAAGGTACTTTGTGGCAGTGTCAATTAACAAGACTTTACTGCCATAAGTAGGAGTGACAACTACAATCTCACAAAAACACACAGCATATTATCTATTCCTGTGGCTTTTTTGCTGACCAACTGTTGTAATTAATGAGCCAATGTGACAGCCCATTACTATCCTATGATAAAACTATTTGACATTGCAATTTCAACAAGAATCAACACAATTTATGTAGTGTTCCCGGCCTGCAGTACACTTGAAAAACCTAGAAATTACACATTGAGTAGATAGACTAGAGCCATCTTACCCTTTAAAAGATAACTTTATCTTCTCAATGTCAGTTTAGATTTATACATTTTTCTGCTTTGAAGAACCATAATACAAATACCAGCAGAAAGAAGACTTGGCTAACTAAGCGTAACAGCCAAAACAGTTACCTCAGTGTTAAGAAATAATTGATATAAATCCTGCAACTGAGATCATACACAGAATATAGCAGACCAACAGAAGTGGGCCAATTTCTACTTAACAATGGGCTGGAGAGATAGATGACTGAGTGGTTAAGAGTACTACCTGCTCTTCCAAGGGCCCTGAATTCAATTCCCAGCAACCACATGATGGCTCACAACCATCTGTAATGAGATCTGGTGCCCTCTTGAGGAAGAGACCTTGTCAGTCATACTCATCAACTTAGACCATGAAACCCAATATGAACAAGTTCAACAGAATCACCATATATGGGCTGCCCATGCATGCTTCAGCATTACCAGAGCATAAATTTCATTCATTTTTCAATTTCATTTTACCCTACAGCTCCAAAGTATGAGTCTATAAACAGCATGCATTCTTCGGGGATAGCAAAATAAGAGACATTAAAGCAAAGCACTGGCTTTCATTAACTGTCTTTTTTTTCACCAACTCTCTTGATATGCCCCCTCTTTTTATTTTAGTTTTGGTTTATTGAGAAAGTGTTGCACTATGTAGCCTTGGCAATCCTGGAACTCACTCTGTAGACCAGGTTGGCCTCAAACTCACAGAGATTAGCCTCTCTCTGCCTCCATAGTGCTAGGATTAAAGGTGTGTACCACCACCACCCTACTCCCAACTCTCTTGATAATAAACTCTCGGTGTTATTATATTTCTGTTACTGTTTCTGTCATGATGGTGGTTATATTACCTAATGTCCTTTCTGACAAAATAAAACTTTAATGGTCATGTTGCACTTAACAGTATTTGAATACACATTCAGAAGTCTAGAGGTCACTGTGGTCCAGAATTCTAGTAACTTGAAGTTACTTGAACTAGCAAGGGAACAGAAATACGGGAAGTATAACTGCTACACTAAGTAGAATGATTATCTCCAAGACCACTGCCCTCCACAGTGTGCATCTTATCTGCCAGGTACCAGAGCAGCTTACTATGCAGAAGCAGGGCTGTTAGAAAGGATCAACTAGAGAAATGAGGTGGAACCTTAGATTCAGTCTCCATTTACACTGAGGAAATAACAACCCTAAATAAAATGAATGCTGACCCAGGGCCAGCTTCAGCCACTCCTGTAGGCTCAAGGTCAAGGCAAGCCTGCCGTTATGGACATCACAGCTCCAAAGAGGAGAAGGGGGAGATGGAGTATTAGCTGGAAGGAGAGATGGGCCAGACATGTTAAGGCTGTACAGGCAGCTCTACCTACTTGGAATTATGAATCCACTCACTGGGTGAAGCTCAGCTATGCTTTACAGTAATACAACTATCAATGGTAACAGACCTGAAGCTACAAGACAAAACTTTACTTATGTTTCTTTTTGTATTTCAAGAGATATTATCAAGAAAGGGAAAACTCAAACCACAAAATGAAAAGCAAAAACTATAAACCACAGCTTCATAGAGAACTTGTACCTAGAATACAAAAAAAAAAATCCTTGCAGCAATGCTGCTTGAAATTTTTAAATACACACACTCACAAACACACACACACACACACACACACGTGTGTGTATGTGAGCAAGGATTTAAATATATTTTATGGCAAAAAACACATATTAATGGTCATTGAGAAACACATAGATGTGCAACATCATTAGTTATCAGTGAAATAAAATCAAAATCAAAATGAGAAAACATTTTGATCTACCAGAATAAAACAATAAAAAAGACAATTTTGTTGCACAATGTTAGTCAGATTGTAAACTGACACTTTCTACACAGAACAAAGTTTCTCAAAATATTAATACACAGTTACCATATGGACCAGAGACTCCCTTCTTAGAATACACACATAACTGGACAGAAAACGTAGGCACACAAAAACCTGAACACAAATGTCCACAGTAGTATCAGGAACAACAGCAAAAGATCAAAACATTCAATATCTGTTTACTGATAAACAAGATATACCATACTAGATAACAGATAAGAAATTAAACAATTTATGAGGCAAGAAGAACAAACTTTTAAAATATTCTGTTAAAGGAAAAGTCAAAGACAGATGCCTATTTGTAAGAAACACTTTAAGTGCAGAAAAAGTCACAGATACACTAATGGTTCTTAGAGTAGGGATAAATTAACTCAAAGTATAAGGGATTTATAGTGTGTTGGGGGTTGTTCTGAAACCACACAGGGATGACAGCAGTCAAATCCCAACTTTATACTAAAAAACATTTTACTAATCACTGACAGAATGTCTAATATTAAAACTTAAATGTTGATTCATTTGGGCTCCCAGTTTCAGAGGATTCATCCAATGCTTATGTGGACCTATGAGCTTGGGTAGCACTTCACGTCAGTGGAGAAAAGTGCTTACGAAAAACATAGTCCTGAAGACATACCTCTAGTGACTTACAGCCTTCAGGTGGGCTCCACCTTCTAGTACATCCCAACAACGCCATCATATTATGAATCCATCAAGAGATTCCATTATTCAGGTCAGAACTCTTGAAATTTAATGTCATCAAATTCAGAATATATTTTTTATTTATTTATTTTTGGTTTAGAGAGATAGGGTTTCTCTGTAGCTTTGGAACCCGTCCTGAAACTAGTTCTTGTAGACCAGGCTGGCCTCGAACTCACAGAGATCCACCTGCCTCTGCCTCCCGAGTGCTGGGATTAAAGGCATGTGCCACCATTGCCCGGCTCAGAATATTTATTTACTAATTGTCTAAGCATATCATAGTCTAATCAAAATTAACCACTACATACATTCAAGAAGTGAAATATAAGATAGCTGAATTATATAACAAAACAACTTAAGATCTAACAGTAGTAGCTATGTCTAGAGTCAAAAAGAGACCAAGTGTCTATAGTTCTACTGTGGTAAACATGAAATACACAGAAGAGCTAAGAAAGGAACCCAGCACCTCAAAAAAAAAAACTATACTAAAAGATTATTTCTCTGAATTCTGATCACTGAGAAGAAATTAACTTTTTCTTTTCATTCATTTGGAAATTTTATCCTGCTTTCATAAGTAGTATATAAGAAATAAAGTATTTGTAGTATGGCGGTTCCTCAATAAAAGTAGAACTACCAACCCTATGATCCAGCTAGATTATACTTAGAATATAATGGAAGGGATATAAGTCAGCACACAACAGATGTATTTGTACATTCACATTTCATGTGGCACTATGCACAATAGCTAAGTTATAAAATCATCAC